TATTCTCTCCACACAGCAGCCTGAGTCTTTTTTTTTTTTTTAAAGTAGACTCCACACCCAGTGTGGAGCCCAATGTGGGGCTTGAACTCATGACCCCGAGATCAAGACCAGAGCCGAGCTCAAGGGCTGGACACTTAACTGACTGAGCCACCAGGCGTCTTTTTCTCAAGCGCACATCGCATCCTCTTGTTGCCTTACTTGCACCTGTGGATGACTGCTCAGGGCTCTTGAATAAAGGTAAGACCCCACAGGTGCTCTTGCTCGCCACCAAGGTGTGAAAAGTCACCCACAGGCAGGGTCCAGCCCACAAATGGAAGGTGGTTGTTTTTTTAAGGTCAACTGGTTTCCAATGTTTAAAAATCAAGAAATACGACATAAATACCTGGATTCTAACTTCTCTTGGAAATCAGAAAATCTATCAGCTGTAGCCCAGTATCTGCCATGGAAACAGCAGCAGCTGTTCCCACTGGACAGGGCATGTCCCCCCAGCCTCCACAGGCCCACCGAACCCCCTCATCTTGCCCACCCTTCATTGTACTCGCAGTACGTGGACCTCCTGCCCCTCGGGATGTGGCCCCTGCATACCTTTCCAGTGCCCCCCCCCACTCTCCCTCTCAGTGCCCCAGTCCCCCTGGGGCTTCTGCCTCTGCACAAATGACAGGGCTGTCACTTATACTGTCCCCTCTGCCTGGAACACACTCCTGCCTCTGCCTCTCTCACCCTCCATCAGCCTGGCCTGGGTAAATCCTACTAATCCTCAAGGCAGGAGTTTCAGTGTCACTTCTACAGGAAAACCAACCATTCCTGGCACCCTGCTCTAGGACAGTGCCCTACCTTTCCCCCACCATGCTGGTGATCTTTGGTTACTTGTCTTTCCTGTGAACTCCCCAGAGGGAAGTCCTGGTGTCTGATCTCCTCTGTGCAGGGCCACCAGCAACCAGCCCAACATGTGGCACAGAGCAGCTTTCTAAATATTTGCTGAATGAGGGAATAAACTCGCAACCTCTGGATTTCGCGTACATACACATTAGTAAGACAAGATCTACCAGAGGGAAAAGATGCAGAAGCAAACAGAAATGATAGCATGGGACAGGTTCCTGCATAAGGTGTCTGTTCCGGGGACATGCTGAACAGTGTCATTATTTGCCAGAGATGTTCCCCAGGGAAAGTCATGTTGGAGTGGAGCCTGGGGACGTGGGGCTTGCAAGCATGCCTGCTACCAAGGAGGACGCTGGCTCACGGAGGTGGTGACCTGCCCAGGGTTACACAGTTCCTGCAGACCATGAGCATCATAAACGTCAGAATATACCTAGTTTATGTACATGCCCAAAGCTGTAACTCCAGCATCCAACTCAGTACTCAAGAATGTGCCGCATGAGTAAAGGAGTGAGTGAATGAAGAGACAAGACAGATGTTTAAGAAAGACCGAGGGAACTGTTAGGATGGAATGTTTGCATCCCCCGCCCCCCCGGCAAATTCACATGTTGAAACCTAACCCCAAGGTGATGATGTTAGGACATGGAGCCCCTGGGAGGTGATTAGGTCGTGAGGGTAGAGTCCCCACAAATAGGATGAATGCCTTTATCCGAAAAGACCTGGAAAAGAGGATTTCTCCCCATTTGAGGACACACTGAGGAGGCGGCGGCCCACATGGCAGGAAGTGGGCCCTCTGCAGATCTGGCCCCCTGATCTCAGACTTCGCCCCTCCAGAACTGTGAGGGGTACAAACTGTCTTGTCTGGAAGCTGCCCAGCCTGAGCTAAGACAGGCTCCCAGCGGCAGGAAGGACCTGACGCTGATTTGAGGAGTGCGATGAGGAGTTGGAACTTATCTTGAAAGAGAAAAGCTTAGCCTCTATGGAGGCAGATATTTGTTTACTTTTTTAGTCAGGGAGGACAACAGTCCTATATTTGTTGACTTTAAAACACATTTTTACATTTCAGGGACAGAGGCTGTCATTGTTACATTGTTTTTATTTTTGTCACACAATTATGTTGACTTTTACAATTTTTAAATATTTTAAAAACAAAAAGCAAAAGAGTCTCTTTAATGTGGGATCTCACTTTGGTAAGGAGACTATTTCCACCATGCTCACATGAATTATAGAAATCATCACGCATGTGACAACCACAGATGTAAAGTGTGAGTTGTTTTTGCTTTTGCAAAAGAGAAAAACAAAACCGTCGCCAAAATAACCCAAAAGGGTTGATAATGAAAGATGAGAAGCAGATGCTTCTGCAGTGACCTGGATCAGGTGAAGTGTAAAAAAGGCCTACGCAATACACTTCAAAATGGTTAAAATGCTAAATCTTATGCATATTTTAACACAATAAAAAGCATTAGGAAATACTGGAAAATATTTTTAAGTGATAAATGTCATCCAGCTCCCATCGTCTTGCCATGCTTGATTCCTCTGCTTATTAACCTTCCCTGAATGAGGCAGAAGCTGGCTCTAGGGTCATGAAGGCTCAGGCATAAAGGGGCCCTGTGCTCTCCCTACCTAAGCTCTTACAGTCTTACTGTGATTTATAAAAAGAAACATATCTTTGGTCTTCCTCATTTCTGGCACAGAGCTCCTAAAACCCTTGGAATTTCCTAAGTGATAAGAGTAATAAAGGTGTTGGGCACCTGGGTGGCTCAGATGGTTAAGCATCTGCCTTCGGCTCAAGTCATGATCCCGGGGTCCTGGGATCGAGCCCTACATCGGGCTCCTGGCTCAGTGGGGAGCCTGCTTCTCCCTCTGCCTCTCTCTCTCTCTGTCTCTTATGAATAAATAAATAAAATCTTTTTTAAAAAAAAAAGAGTAATAAAGGTGTCTTGATATTCACAAAGACCCCTTTAAGCCACGCCTGAGTTTATGTTAGTGAGTGACTTTGGGACAGTGTCGAAGGATGGGGGTCGGATGCCATCAGAGCCAAGCTACCAAGTGACCTGAAATCTCCAGGGAGGGGAGAGAGCTGGATATTGAGTTCAGTTGCCAAAATGATCTCAACAACCCTGCCTTTGTAATGAAGCCTCCACAACCCTTCCCCCACCCAAAGGATGGGGTTGGGAGAGCTTCCATGTTGGTGAACATGGGAGATTCTGGGAGAGTGACATTGCGAAGAAGGCAGGGACCTCCCTGCCCTCCGCATGCCTTTCCCCGGTTGTCTCCTTCATCTGGCGGTTCTGAGTTTTATCCTTTTATGATAAACCAGTAATCTCGTAAGTAGACTGGGGCCCTGTGTCCTGTGAGCTGCTCTAACCAGTTAACCAAACCCAAGGAGGAGATCGTAGGAACCACTGATTTATAACCAGTTGATCAGAAGCGCAGGTGACAACCTGGACTTGCAATTGGCATCTGAAGTGGGGACAGGCTCGTGGGACTGAGCCCCGACCCCGTGGGGTCTGACAGTGTGTCCAGGTGGATGGTGTCAGAATTGAGCTGAATTGCAGGACACCTGGCTGGTGTGAACTGTTTGATGTGGGGAAAGAACCAGCACATCAGAATCAGTGCCAGAATCCTGCTTACACTCCGAGGGAGCCCAGCGTGTCCTGTTCCTAGCTGTGTAAGACATGCCCCATATGTGGGTCTGGAAGCAGACAGACCGGAGGCCTGGTTTCAGCTCCATGTTTATAGGAGTCAGTTTTCGACCTCATGTCTTTCAGCTTCCACGTCCACAACTGCAGAGGTGAGCCACTCACAGGGAAGCTGTGAGGGTTTGGATGGCATAAAAAATCAGTACTGTGTGATGTGCGCATTGTCATGTCTGTTCCAACTGCCGCCTCCCCCTGCAGGGGTGCAGCTCACAGGGTCTGCCAGATGTGCTCTGTCCAAGCACCAGACCATGCAGGGCAGTGGACATCCCACCATCACCAGTGGTTCATCTCCTCCCTCCCTCCAATCTTCCAGGGTACGTGGGAAGGCCAGGCTCTTCTTCCCTCATCCTGGTGGGACAGGGAGGCAGCAAGTCTATGGACTCCATCCCCTCCCCATCTCCCCAGGGCCACCGCCTCAGTCCCTCTCTCTAGTCTCTGCTGGGTCCTCCCCTCCCTTCCGACCCTTCCCGCCCCAGTCCACATGTCCACACCATCCCTACCCCAGAGCCATCTTCTAACTTGGACCTGGCCACATCACTCCCTTGCTCAAGTACCACTGGGCTCCCCAGTGCACCAGGACGAAATCTACTGGGACTCAATGAACAGGCACCTCGCCTCTCACGTTCCCCGCACAGGCTCTCCCCTCAGCCTTCAAGGTACTTGAATCCTGGCAGGGCCATTTCTCATCGCAGGCCTTTTCTTCTGTTACCCCTCTCTCTGCAATGTCTTCTCTCCAAACCCCACTTTTACCTGACTAACTTCTGCTCAGCTTCATGGCTTCATCTAGAGACCACCTCTTCTGGGTAGCCTTCCTTGATCCCACCCTCCCCACCCTGGGTGAGGCTTTCCTCCTTGCCAAGGCCACACAACAAGTAAACTGTTGAACTGGGATTCCAAGTCAGGCCCTCCCACTTCCCAAAACAGAAGACTGTGCAACCACATATTTATGTAAGAAAGAAAGAAAGAGTGAGGTAGAACAAAGCAAAACATCTTGGAAAGATGTCCCAGCTTTAGTAAATGAAAATAGCAAGCTGTAGAACAATGTGCATGGCATGGTTCCATTTTAAAAACTACATATGTTTATATAGGTTTGTATAAGCAAAGAAGAAAACCTCAATAAATACAAATTGAGCTGCTGACAATAGCTATTGGGTGGGTGGATCTGAACATTCTGTAAGGTTTGCATTTGTTATGTATTGTTTATGTTCTAAAAAAAAAATGAAAAAATGCAGTCGAAGGAATTCAACAACTGTTCTCCAATAATAAATGAAAGGCCTGAATGCTTAGGAATCCCGAGACACAGAGACGAGACTTTGGAGGCAGGCTCACCTCTGACTACCCTTGGTCCTGGAAGGGACACAGGGAACTGAGAGGATGGCATGAAATGAGAAGGGTCAAGGTGGGCAGGCGAGCCACACTTACCTTTCCCAGCAGCTCAGGCAGGCCCATCACTTGCCCGGCAAACACGCCAATGCAGATGAAGATGGCGGTCACCTGCCCCAGAGAGCCACGGATCTCCTTGGGCGAGATCTCGTTCAGGTACATGGGGAGTGCACTGAGGGCGATGCCTGTGAAAGAAGCATGGCAGCCGTGAGAGGGCTGTCTTCTCCAAGGGAGGAGTACCCTGGGCAGTGAGATGGCCCTCATCCTCAAGGAAGACTGGTCAGAGCCCTTCCCTCTGCCCTTCCCTCTGCCGTGCCCTCTCAAGAACAGCAGGATAGCCACAACACCACTCCCAGCATCTGCACAGATGGCCGATGCTTTCATGTCATGACATGCCCTGTTTCATGTCATCCATAAGGTATGGCTGGGAGGTAGATTTCATAGAAAGGGAAACAGATGATGATGGTGGTGGTGGTAGTGATGATGGTGGTGGTGGTGGTGATGATGGTGGTGATGGTGGTGGTAATGGTGGGGGTGATGGTGATATGGTGGTGATGGTGATGGTGGTGATGATGGTGATATGGTGGTGGTGGTGATGGTGGTGATGATGGTGATGATGGTGGTGATGATGGTGGTGATGGTGATGGTGGTGGTGGTGGTGATGATGGTGGTGATGATGGTGGTAATGGTGGTGATGATGGTGGTAATGGTGGGGGTGATGGTGATATGGTGGTGATGGTGATGGTGGTGATGTGGTGATGGTGGTGATGATGGTGATAATGGTGGTGATGATGGTGGTGATGGTGATGGTGGTGGTGGTGATGATGGTGGTGATGATGGTGGTAATGGTGGTGATGGTGGTGTTGGTGATGATGGTGGTGATGGTGGTGATGATGGTGGTGATGGTGGTAATGCTGGTGGTAATGGTGGGGGTGATGGTGATATGGTGGTGGTAGTGGTGATGGTGATGGTGGTGGTGGTGATGGTGGTGGTGGTGGTGATGGTGGTGGTGGTGATGGTGGTGATGGTGGTAATGCTGGTGGTGATGGTGGTGATGGTGATGGTGGTGATGTGGTGGTGGTGATGGTGATGTGGTGGTGGTGGTGATGGTGGTAATGCTGGTGGTAATGGTGGGGGTGAAGGTGATATGGTGGTGGTGGTGGTGATGGTGATGGTGGTGATGTGGTGGTAATGGTGGGGGTGATGGTGATATGGTGGTGGTGGTGATGGTGGTGGTGGTGATGGTGGTGGTGGTGATGGTGGTGATGATGGTGGTGGTGATGGTGGTGGTGGTGATGGTAGTGGTGGTGATGGTAGTGGTGGTGATGGTGGTGATGGTGATGGTGGTGATGATGGTGGTGATGGTGGTAATGCTGGTGGTAATGGTGGGGGTGATGGTGATATGGTGGTGGTGGTGGTGGTGATGGTGATGATGGTGGTGGTGATGGTGGTAATGGTGGTAATGCTGGTGGTAATGGTGGTGGTGATGGTGGTGATGGTGATAGTGGTGATGTGGTGGTGGTGATGGTGATGTGGTGGTGGTGGTGATGGTGGTAATGGTGGTAATGCTGGTAATGCTGGTGGTAATGGTGGGGGTGATGGTAGTGGAGGAGGATGTGGTGGTGATGGTGGTAATGGAGGTGATAGTGGTGGTGATGGTGAGGGAGGTGAAGGTGTTGGTGGAGGAGGTGTCAGTGCATGGTAATGGTGGTGTTAGCAGACAACTTATCTAGTGCTTACCAAGTAGCAGGGATCCTTCTTATCTCTTTATGTATATTATATATTTTTGTAATAACTCATTGAAGTAAATGTACTATTATTATCCTTATTCTAAACATGAGGAAGCTGAGGCACAGATGGAGTGACTTTCCCAAATCACCAAGTGACGTCCAGAGACGCCCAAAGGGATTATTTTGCCCAAGAGATCAGGTCTATGATTCTCGAACTCGAGCTCTTCCCACTAGCTTTACATCAGTGCCTCTTGATGTAAATCATGGCACTCAGGTCAGGCAGATGCTGTATTACCCATTTTACAGCATTTTATAGAGTGCTTGTCGGTTTCAAGAAAGTTTTCCACCTGCAGCTGGGCACGGCCATTCTCAACGCCCTTCACAGGCCTACCAACATCTACAAATGCACTTGCCCCAGGCTGACTCATGGCACGTTGGGAGCACAGACGGCACACTCTGGAGCCACACGGCCTCCCTATGAGGCTTTGGGTGGGGACTTAGGGTCTCTCAGCCTCGGTTTCCCTCTCCACAGATGGGGATGAGAACCGAGCCTCACTTCATAGGACTGCTGGGGGCCTGAGACTGGACCGGCCCCATGCTTCCCTCATCGTGCAGGGCCCTGCAAAGCAGTGCTGACGGCACTAGTTCTTACTGTCTAATTTTCCACCAGACTGTGAAGGCATCAAACATTTCTTTCCTGCCCTGGCCTCCTGATGCCTCTAGCATGGTTCCCGAAACACTTTGGGTACCAATCAATGTGCTTCCAGTGAAGCTGATATGCACCCCAGTTGTTAACCGCCAGGGAGGCTTCCTTCAAAAAAAATTAGTAGAAGGAATACGTGGCCCAGTTAATAAGCTGAGGATCTCATTCACTGCATCTCAGCCCAGAATAACTTTTCCTGGCTCACCAGAAAGGCAAAGACGCTTAAGGTACAAAGAAACGGGAATTAGCGGCAAAGTCACACATAAGCCAGAGGATTCGCGTTTCTACCGTAAACACACACACTGAGAGCAGCTGGGCTCGTGGAAAAACAGGCTGACCACGGACCAGCGTGGCACCTTGCTGCTGAGGGGCCAGTGCAACCGAGGGACAGACGTACGAGGATTCAAGTCCCAGAGCCTGGCTTCCTCGCCAGGTGACCTTGATCAAGTCAATTAGCTTCTCCTAGTCTCAGCTTCCTCACCTATAAAAATGAGGGTAGTAATTGCTGTCTATTTCTGGTGCAGTGGGAAGGACGTTATTACATGTAAGGGTCTGGCCGCACGTGTAGCCACTTGACAGGCACTTAATAACAGTCAGCTTCCTTTCCCTGATGCTCCTCGGGCCCATTGGGGCTAATCATCCCTCAAAAAATGAATGAGAAATGATAGGGCTGTGGGAAAGAGGTGGCATGGTCACGATGAAGGGCCTGTGGCCACAGATGGGACGGTAATAATACCTCCTTCATACAGGAGCCGGGCACACACGGAATGTGTGTGAAATGCTTAGCAGAGGGCCCGGCATACAGCAGGCTGTCAATAAATGGTGACTGTTCTTACCGGCCTGTCGCGAAATGACATGGCAACATGAGATGCTGTGGCTAAACCGCCGGTGAATGAGGAGGGGGTCTACACGAAAGCCGCCACCCCCCAGTTTGCTGGGGACTGTCCTGGTTTTAGCACTGCAAGTCCTGTGCACCAGGAGCGCCCCGAGTCCCAGGCAAACCAGGGGATAGGTCATCCAAGGCCCGTGGTGCTGCACCAGGCGTCCCACACCACTGAGTGGCTTCTCTCGACCTATGACCCCCATCCCCTGCCACCCTTCCTCCCCAGGGGCCCCAGCCTTGGGGTTTACTGGACGCTCCGGGTGCATACTGACTGTGGGATATTGGCCTTTGTTGCTATTTTTATCTGGAACCTGGATTGTCAGAGCCCCCTAAGCTGGCCCCCGACAGGCTTCCTGTATTACCACCCCCTCGGACGTGACCTCATTTGGAAGTTGTCTGCAGAGGTAATCAAGTTAGGGTGAGCTCATCCTGGATGAGCGTGGGCCCTAAGTCCAGTGACTGGGGTCCTCCTAAGAGGCCATGTGCAGACACAGAGAAGGAGGCCATGTGAAGTTGGGGTCAGAGACTGGAGTGGTGTTGCCACAAGCCAGGGAAGGCCAAGGGTGGCTGGCAGCTGCCAGATGCCAGGAGGGCAGAGCACGGAGCAGATTCTCCCTCTGGTTTTGGACTTCTGGCCTCAGAACTCTGACAGCATCACTTCTGTTGTTCGAGGCGCTCCAGTTTGTGGCCCCAGAAGAGCAGCGCACCTCCTCACTGAGGCCTTCCCTGACCACCTGCTGCAGTCGGCCCCTTCCCAGCGCTGTCTCTGCATCCGGTCCTAGCTCCTCCCAGCACTTAGCGCTTCCTGAAAGTATCTAGTCTGGTTTACTTACTTTACCACGGTTTCCCCACCAGAAGCCACAGCGAAGCTTCATGAAAACTCAGTGCCAGCCCCAGGACAGGTGCTTGATCGACATGTACTGAATGGGTCCCCATGCCATTGTCATTCTACTGTTATTTATTTAATCGAGGCTGCAGAAAGGCCGAGCGGTGGGGCACCAGTGGCTGGGACTTGCACACCCCTGCCAGGCTGGTCCTCGGATGCAACTGTGGTCCACGGGAGCAGGCCCCGGTGGGCAGCGACTCCGAGCAGCGAGCAGAGGGCAGCATGCCCCCGGCTCTTAGCTAAAACATCAACAGTTCCAATGTACTGAGCCTGCTACAGCTTCCGAGGCCTTCCCCTTCCTCGGGGCACGGGGCCTGATGGTGCGCGAGGGGCGGGCAGGGGCACACTCCCTCACACGGGGCAAGCTTGGCTTCCCGATTCCTCCCAGAGTCCAACTGGAGCAGCAGCTCTAAGCTCTTGAAAAGCAGAAGGGACCTCGGAAAATATTCTCCAGGGGAATCAGAGAGGCTGAAGGAGACCCTTTACGGACAACTGGAAATGTGCATTTTCCCACCGGAGTGCAGAAAAACTTGAGCCCAGTCCAAAGCATTTTACTGAATATGACAGTCTTAACTTTTGAAAATGAAAATATGACACATATCTTTAAATTGCACAGTGCAGTCTGGGGAATCATCACAAAATGCACACATCTGTGCAACTTCACCCAGGTCAAGAATCGACCTATACTCCAGTACCCCAGAAACCCCCCCACCCTGCGCTTCCTCAGAATCATCATCCTCCCCTTCTCCCCAAAGATCACCACCAGCCTGACTGCTTTCACCAAAGCTCCGTGTGTGGAATCATAAGGGATGTGTTGCTTTTGTCTCTCATCTCGTTGTGCTTTTCATGGATGTGAAATGCATTCACGTTGTAGCACGTAACTGTAATTTGTTTGTTTTTATTGCTGTGTGGTATTCCAACATGTGATATATCACACTTGATCCGCCTTCCTATTGATGGACACTCCAGTGCTTTCCGGTTTA